AACCTATATCAAATATGCCCCTGGGTCAATATCGGCCCTCCCCGTGGGCATTTTATTTATATGAACATATACTGGAAAACACATTTTAGTTTTATTGTGTGAAACTACAAAGCCCAGAGCTTAGATATTTCGCATGGAGTATCAATATGTAGATTTCTACAAAAGTTATGATCTTCATGACCCTCAGGTCAAAATTGGCCTTGCCCCGGGGGTCATTTGCTTTATGTAGATCAAGGTATAGGAAACGCATCTTACCTTTTTGTTGATAAATACTATGCCTCTATATTTGGCATATAGCATCGCCTAGTAGACCTCTATAAAGTTTTATGAATCATGTACCTAAGGTAAAAAATGCTCCACCCTGGAGGTCATGTAGTATCATAAGGATAATTAAGATAAAACATTTTTTTCAGAAAAGTTTCTTGATTGGGTCTATACCCTTATTAAAAGATAATTTTTGATTACTCAAACAATTTCTTATATTCGAGCGTATATTGTTCCGCTTTTCAGCTGGTCTTCTTTTTTATTTTTGATATCTTGTCACAAATAGAAATACTCATTTGTCATATACATAAACAATCTTTTTGCTCATTTTGCTCTGTTGGAAAATGGTATATTTAATAAAATTAATATTTTGTATGGAAGTTAAAATACTACTTTTACATTTTGCATCCCTTACAACACATCACTGCATGTTCAGCGGTTGTTGAATACAAGTATCTTACATGCTCTAAATTCATCATTAAAACATTATTCAACACACGTTTAGCAATTCTAAAGGATTAAAAGAATAGATTTCTGCGGCTAAATGTGATTTAAAAGTAAGCACACGCGTGAATTTATGCCGCCGTTTTCTATTTCAAGGACTATCCTTTTTACTGTAAACTGTTCGTAATTTAGTAATGTGATCAATAGAATACATGTACATGTATAATGCATGTATTTTGCATGTATTCGTTAAGCATCATTTCTTAATTTATCGATCTTATTAAATGAAATGATAAATTAATCGTTCGATTAAAGTAACATTATGCTCGTATTTTCATAGTCAGTTTGAGCTGAATTGACTTTATATTTCAATAGATGGTCTTTGTCCAACAGTTGATATTGGAAAATGCCCAGGATAAAATTATAAATCTGCCTAAAATATAAAAAGACTGCCCCACTCTTTTTTTATAAACTGAGCGTTAAAGGTAAATTCTAATAGATATTTACAGAAATTTTATTTTGATCTGTGCATTATTTACTGTCTATGGCAAGTAAATTATTCAATTTAAAGGAATTATGGCAAAATGAAAACTTATTTTTATATTCACCTGTTCACTCACTAGATACCCTTGGATGGTTATAATGTCACTTTAATTCAGTAAAAAATCTATTCATTCATTATCCCCTATATGCGTCATTTCCAAAAACCACGTTTCAAGTGGCGAAATCATTTCCGGTGTTTTAGTTGTTTTTTTTTTTTCATATCAATTCATATTTCTCTTTTTTTTTCAGTTTTTTTTAAATAAGCGGTTAGGTGTAAATATCAAATTTTATTAGCGTTATTTTACACATGAATAAAATTGTAGTGTACGCTTCAGAACCAAACGACGTGGAAAATCCTGATATGTTAAAAAGGACTGTCGGTGGAATATGACTCCAACCTTTATTCACCTTATCTTTTTTAGATGGTCACAAGTTAACCAATTATGATGTCACTGGTATGCAATGAACGATGTCGATTGCATAAAAAGAGAAAGAAAAAAAAGTCCTTGTGTTTTTTCCATGATGTGAAATGACAATATAAGATAGAAACTCCTAACAATGAAAACGTGTTTAAAACTCTGAACCTACTAAATTTGTGTAGTTCATTCTTGTCCTGAATATAATTAATAACAACAGCAACGAAAAGAGCTACTAAAAGCAGTACTAGTGCAAAGATGTGCAAGTTTGTCCTGCTCTTTTCCGGTTCAAGCGGTGAATTATTTTACACTTGTTGTTGTTATAAACCGAGCTTGTGGTTAATGCAAGTCAACAGAAGTAAGATTACTATGTTTAATCAAAGCAAAACGGAAAAAATCTTTATTTAGCTGCGGTCTCACTTACTCCCGGCAGAGCCCAGGACCACCCCGGTAAGTTACCGGGATGATCCGGGACGATCCGGGGTGAAATTATTGTTGCGGTCACACTTACCCCGGCAACACTACGGTAATTCCCAACTATCCACCCAGGATGTGCTCCGGACCATCCAGGCAGAGCCTTGATGAAGCTACGGTTTATGCCGGTGCTTCCTCGGTCGTTCCCGGATGATGCTGGAGGAGCCCCGGTTGACTTAGGCAGAGCCCCGGTTGATCAAGGCAGAGCCCAGGACGATCCAGGCAGAGTCCCGGTAGAACCTCGGTAGATTGAAAACTTGCAAAAATGATTGCATTGATACATAATTTTTATTCAATATTATATCTCTTGATCCAGAACAGTAATTCATGATGATTTTCTGAAAATCCTTATGCAAGACTGGATAAAAGGGAAATGGGAAGGGTTTTGTGAAATCATCGCAAATTGTCGTGAATCTTTTGAAATGAACCGCGCATTGCCGGGACTCTATCGGGATCAACCGTAGCTCCATCGTCATCTTCCGGAGCTCTGGCGGCATTCTCCGGGCCTCTTCCGGCATTCACCGGGGCTCTGCCGGCCTTCACCGGGGCTCTGCCAGCATTCACCGGGGCTCTACCGTAGCTCTACCGGTTATATCATGCCCCGGATCATCCCCGGTTTGTGCAGGCAGAGCTACGGTGCTTCCCCGTTGTAACCCCGGTCGTTCCAGGCAGAGCTAAGGATGAAGCCGGCAAAGCTAAGGATGAAGCCGGCAAAGCTATACTTCCAGGATCATCCCGGACCACCCCGGTGGTATTTAATATTTTATTCCATCCGGGGTCGAATGCCGGATGTTCCCGGACGTTGCCGTTAGAGTTACGGATGTACTCCGGTCATTGTGTACACCGGTCTTACTTGAGAGACCGGTGTGTATACAATGTACTTCGGTTGTTCCCGGTCGAAGCCCGGTCGTTCCCGGATCACCCCGGACGTCTGGGTCTGCACTGGTCGCATGGGTAAGTTTACGGCACTCGTAGCTTGTAAGCCTACATTGTTTTGATGATCTTGTAAACACATAGGAATACGGGACTGTGGGGGGGTGGGGGTGGTCACAGGTCTGCATTGAAAGACACTTATTTTAAATTGTCGGAAAACAGACCACTTCCGGAAATGCAAACTTGTTATCTTAAATCTCTTAAATCACATTTATATTGTTTGTTTTTTTTTTTTTTTTTTTTTTTTTTTTTTTTTTTTGCTCTTATTGCTTGTGTTAGAATACATTCGGAATACTCTCACTTATCGTAACACACTACATTTCTCTGGGTTAACATTATGCAAGCCTACTGGCGGCAACTGGTTATACCCATGCAACCAGTGCTGATCAGCAAAATAAGTCAGCACTCCATTAACACCTGATCATGGTATGCACTGCTCGCTATTCAGTCAGAAAATATTTTGAAATCTTCCCTGAACCCGACGAATGGCTTTGTCCAGATTGAAAGATGGAACACATTTACGGCTATAAATAGGCATCGGAATCACTTTAGGGCTATTATATGTTCCATTGGGCATATAACCATGGTAAAAGTTGTTGACTTCAAAGCATTTGCTCGAATCCCGTCTTAACGAACGAGGAAGCTAGCCAGCTATCTTGCGGAAGGCCGGTGGTTCTACTCAGGTACCGTAAAGGCTGGAAAGTTACTTTATGATCTTTACAGTGTAATCATGACTTAAAAAAAACCAATACATGTACATTATTTTTAATGTTTCACTATAAGCCTCCATATGAAGTTTGAATAGAAAAAAATTGATTATCTGCCATGCATGCTGTTTAATTGTCCGTTATTTACATTGGTTTCGCATTTCAATGAACAAAAAATATTTTTTTACAAAGCCGAAGCATTGTTCTGTTTTATATTTTATTGACTATTACTTTTTTATCTAAAATTAACACAACCGAATCAATAAGTAGTTTTTTTAATTGTGAATGCCATCTAAGAAGACGAAAATAATATAATAAAGGTGGTGTTCTAGCAAATACAATTCACGGGGAAAATACAGTCAATGATTTCTTTTAACAAGGATATGAAATGGTATACGAAAAGGATTACCTCCCCTCGACTGTCCCCTCCCCTCCTCTTCCCACAATCCCCCTTCTCTCCTCCTCTTCCCTACCCTCCACCTTTCTCTTCCATTATTCCCCCCTCCCCTGTTTTCCCATTTCCACCTCAGTTCTTTATCTCTCTCTCACACTCCTTTTTTTTCTTCCCCATAATTTTATCTTCTTTCTTCTTTCCCTCCCTCCATCCCTTCCTTTCTTACTGTCCTGTTCTCACTCTTCTACCTTCCCTTCCTCTTACCTTTCCTCTTTTCCATTCCCTCCCTCTTTCCCCCCCCCCCCTCTCATTCCTTCTTCCATCTCATTCCCGTCCGCCTCATTTCCTTTTTTTACATTTTTTTCCTGCACTTTCCTTTGTCTCTGATCTACAAATCTTCCTTATGATAACCTTTTCCTCTTATCCAACCTGCAATCAATCATATCGTAATTTTAAAATCTGAAACACCTAAATAAATCTTGTTTTGCGCAAATAATATAGCCGCTCACTTTACGCTGATTTCTTTCAGTAGGGCGTGTTAAGGTTCTTTAGCCGAGTTGTTTTCTTTTATTTTTTCACGATTATGTTTGTCTTGTTTATATATTTATATTTTATATTTATTTATTTATTTCAGAAACACGAAGTTAAAAACATTTTTTTCCTTAAGTTTCATATGTCAATTTATATTTCTTGTAACATGTAGTCAAGTTTCTTTGTTATTGAGTATAGGTCTATTTATGCAGACGACTAGGCAAACAAACGTACTCGCTCAAAACGAATGTAACATGATACCTATCTGTTACAGGGTACACTAATTTTTGAAACACACATGTATAGAAAATGACATAGGAAGAGGAGCTATCGTTCTAATCCCTTTCAATTTTATGTAATAATTTTATTAATATAAAATGTAAAATGTGTGAAATATTGAAATAAATATGTTTAAACTAAAAGGACATAAATGTTCTAATACGGTTAGATTTAAGATGAATAAACAACCAGGTAAGACATTTTAAAACTTAAGTAATAATAAATGCTATACAAACGCGTTATATGTGGAATAACAATGATATCTTAGATCACAGTTCTTTAAATGCGCGAGCGGACAGATGGGTTGTTTCTGGCCGATACTAACCTCTAGTTTAAAGTGGCATTATGCTCATCGGTTGAGCTGAAATGACTATGTATTTTAAAAGAGTGTTAAAATAGTGATTGACCAACAACTGATACTTGAAAATCTTTAGGATAAAATATCAATCTGCCTTAAATATACAAAGACTGTCCAGCTGATCGGATATCATGGATATTTACAGAAATTTCGCGAGTTATTAATTGTCCATGCGATGTAAATTATATTATTGAAGGGAATTATAGAAAAATGTAAACTTACTTTGACTATCACCTGCTCTCTTACTATTTATACCTTTGAATGGGCATGTCACTTTGATATAACATTTCATTAATCCTGAGACATTTTACCGCTTTCATATTCTTATCGTCTCTGCAGACGAGTTTTTACTAAACCCTGAATTTGCTGAATGTATATATATTGACTTACAATACTGTCTAATATGGACTTGCAATACTGTCTTATATGGACGTGCAAAACTGTCTTATATGGGCTTGCAATTCTGTCTTATATGGACTTACAATACTGTCTTAATTTTATATGGACTTGCAATATTGTCATATATGGACTTCCAATAGTGCCTTATATGGACTTCAAATACTGCCTTATATTGACTTCCAACACTGTATTATATGGACTTGCAAAACTGTCTTATATGGACTTGCAAAACTGTCTGATATGGACTTGCAATACTGTCTTATATGTATTTGCAATACTGTCTTATATGGACTTCCAATACTGCCTTATATGGACTTACAATACTGCCTTATATGGACTTCCAACACTGTATTATATGGACTTGCAATACTGTCTTATATGGATTTGCAATGCTGTCTTATATGGACTTTCAATACTGTCTTAATTTTATATGGACTTGCAATATTGTCATATATGGACTTCCAATACTGCCTTATATGGACTTACAATACTGCCTTATATGGACTTCCAACACTGTATTATATGGACTTGCAATACTGTCTTATATGGATTTGCAATACTGTCTTATATGGACTTGCAATGCTGTCTTATATGGACTTTCAATACTGTCTTAATTTTATATGGACTTGCAATATTGTCATATATGGACTTGCAAAACTGTCTGATATGGACTTGCAATACTGTCTTATATAGACTTCCAACACTGTATTATATGGACTTGAAATCCTTTTTATATGGACTTATTATACTGACTTATATGGACTTGCAACTCTGTCAATTTCTAATTTTTGGGATATCAAGAGAAAATTTTAAGTTAACTCATCCAGTAATGTATGCAATCTATACCTAGTGATTAAGGCTGATCACTTTTCATTTCAGCAGAATATAAGTTAAGATCTCTGTCTCGAATGAATAAGCAGCAAAACTAAACAAACCGTATATTAAGGTTGAGTTTCAACCTTCTCCTATATTTCAAATATTTGAAAAAGAGATGTATCATTATCATTATCATGCATTACTCTGTCATGTCATATATAGTATGTTTGTAATATGTTGTCCTCATGGGCTTATTAGCCTATTGGAAATGAAATAAATAAATTCTAAATTCTAATTCTATATACAAACAAACATTAACAAACAAAAAAATGCAGCCACATACAAACTGTAAATATTTATAACCTTCAAAATTTATAATTTATCAGTATCTACAAAAATTACAGCTTACGAATTATATTAAGTATACATTTATTGTTTCAACACATTTAAAATCTGTTGAAATTACTATACAAAGGTTTACCGAGTACAAATGCCTTTTTAACTGATACTTTAAAGCCCCATTTTGTCTTAAAAAATGTTAATATCATTTTCATTTCTCACAAACTGTTTATTTTTTGGTATCTTTTTATAAAGTTTTTAAAAAACATAGTCCTTTGCTATACACATGAACAATCTTTTGCATGTTTAGTTCTGTTGGCAATTTGTATAATTATAGTGAATTTATTATTTAGTATTTTGTACGGAAGTCAAAATACTACTTTGTTAACAGTTTGTTACCATTACAACATATAAATGCACGTTCAGTTCTACATTTTTCAGTTGTAAAACATCTAATATGCTCTTAATCCATTATTTAAACATTATTAAACACATGGTTGACATTTCTAAAGAATAAAAACAAATACATGGATTACCTACCGTATATATTGACTAAATACGTATAAATGATGTTCTTCTTCTACTGGTTATGACGATAAGTAAGTATTTGAAAAACACAATTTCGCTTTTTGGGTTATTGTCGTCCAGGGTTGTGTTTCATAGAAAGTCCTAAGTCTAATAAGTCTTAAGACCAAAACTGAGACATTGTTTGTTTCAAAGAAAATGTCCTAACTTATGACTCTTATGTTCTGACTGTTTTTTTTTAAATAACGATTCAGATGAACATTTTCATATTGCGGATTAAAGCCCATGCCATTGTATTTTGTAACTTTTCTCATAAGTGTGGTGTTACAAAGCACATATAAATAAAAGAGACGGTTTATTATCCTATTGCTTGTATACTAAGGTTCTTGTGCCAGAATCGACTGCATCTTGCAATGTTTCTCAAATTTGAAAGACCACCTGTTTCTAAGGAAATGTCGCATTGTAAAAGGGCATTCGTGAGGGCCTACAAGTAGTAGGCAGGGCTGCGTCTTAAGTGTATCCTAAGTCATAGGACTAACTATAGGACTAACTTAGAACCGTTTCAATAAATAATGTCATCTTCAGAAAAAGTTTTAGACTTTTATCTAATTCATTCTTATGAGACTGAACAGATCATATCGTATAAGGAACTGGATTTTAATTAGATGGAAATATGTATGACATGCAATTTCAACAATTATCGCGAGTTCATGGATATGTTTTCTAATGTATTGTTACACACAATATCAATATATCTTATAACTTTAAAGCCAATATCCTATGAGACAATTAATTGAATATAAAACATATTTATAATAAATTGCAACCATTAGATATAACAAATTAAAATAATCAATCGTCTGCTATTGTTAGCCAACTTAATACATTTCGCCTACAGCTACATGATATTATTTAAAATATCATTAGAATTCGTTCTTGTTGAATGAATTTTTATGACCGTTTGTTTGATATCAAAAAGCGCATATGTACCTGTGTAACGCACTTTGGTGTCAAACTTTGACACCAAAGTGCGTAACGCACTTTAGGGTTGGACCCCAAAGTAAGTAACGCACTTTGAGGTCGGACCCCAAAGTGCGTTTGACCCCAAAGTGCGGTGTTACAGGTTACGGTGCTAAATCTGGATATATTTGCCTATAAAAATATTCGTTTAAAGTGACATTATGCCCATCTAAGTACACAAATGGTCAGTGAAAAGGTAAAACTAAAAAAAGCCTAGCATTTGTATTCAATTTTATATTTTACTTAGAAAAAATAATCAATAATTCATAAGACCAAAGGATTTCTAAAACAAAATATCGTCATAAAAAGAGTGGGACAGTCTTTATATAATTTATTTAGATATTTTATTATACACGTTTTTTCATTCTCAGCTATTAGTCAATCACCATAATAATAATAGTCAATCTTATATGGAATATATTACTAATTCAACTCAACTTGACAACGAAAAAGATATCGCATACTGTCACTTTATGGTGTACGAAGATTGTCTAGCGTCGAGATTGAAGCACTATTCAAACCCCTTTAGAGTTCATATATGCGAGTTTTATGGAACATATCTCTTCCTACTCTCATACTTAAGGTTTTCACAAATATGATTTCAAGTTACTCTGTCACACTTCGGTACGTGCCTGCTTGGAGAGGCACAGAGCATCGTCAGAAAATTTGGACCTTGGTTAGATTGGAGAGATTCTAGAAGTCAAACTACTACCATAAAATATTAAGAAATTTGACAATACAGTGTGACAGTTAAAACACAAACATTACAAAATGTTTTATTGTCTTTCCAGAATCACGAATGATGGCCGCAGAAAATAATGAAAACCAAGGCATTCCTTGTGACATCATCAAAAGCTAGCAGACGATAAACCACAAAGCACTATAGGAAGTCATCCGTTTTAGCGATTTATTTTGTTTTAAATGACGAAAACAAAAGCTTGCTTAATATTTCAGCAGATGGTCACGAATCGTTAGAAAAATGGCGAACATTAAAAAAGTTATAAAATTTGCAGGTATATTTTGTTTGCTCGTTATTGCCGTTTTATTTTATCTTAATCACCCGGATCTAAATATTGAAAGGAAAGGACGTATATACCAAGAGAAGTTAGCTAAAACTATATCAGCTCTCCAACTAGAACTCAGCAAAAGAGATACCAACAGCATACATCGCGATTCTGTCCCGAGAGAAAATGAAAGCGAAGAAACTAAGACTACATTAAACATGTTAAATGAATCTTATAAAACGCATACATTCGAACAAAACACAAGCGATGATAATATCAAACGACCTCACACTGAATTTTCTAAATCAGACAAGTGCCTCACGTGTAGTTCATATGTCGATAAAGGAAGTGCCAAGAATTACAACTTTTTCGCAGGAAAATACTCGCTGGACAAGGAACCCTTCGCGTCATGGGTAAAGCAAGGTAACACAAAAACTTACTGTGATAATCGTATTAAAGTGTTTAATGATATGTTTGCAATTCTTCATGATGTAACGATGTATCCGTCAAGAAGGCTTGAGAAGGAGACACAGGCAAAGGGCGGGGAAGAAATAAGAAACGTCCTAAATCAAGGCATTGCTCGTGAGGATTATAACTTTGATGATAACTTTTTTGAAATAGAATGTACGACAAATATTGGAACAAGACTTAGTTCATCAAATAATCTTCGTTTGTTGTCGTCTGTGAATTTGATCTCAGTGTCACGAGAAAAGGCAAAATATGTTTCTTTGAAATTCAATGGAAAATACGCTGTTGCAGTTCGTAGACAAGACTATGCTAATTTGCATAATTGGGTTCGAAATATATACAACATATTTGTATTGTTAATGCATTTCAGAGTTCAGCCAAAAGATATATCTGTTATATTCATGGATGGCCATCCTCGAACTGAATTGGACAACGCATGGGCAATCGTATACAATAAACCTATAAGGGTTGGTCATGTGGAGCAGACAATAACATTCCAAAATTTAATCCTAGGTTTAGAAGAACACAAAGGACCTATAACTGATTTTTATTTGGAGCAAGTACCGTATTTGGAAGAATTTAGGTCTTTTGTTCTTTCGCAATTCAATTTAAACTCTTCAAATAGTTTAAATTGTGCTTCACCGAGGATAACAGTGATATTACGACGGAACGCTGTTTATCACCCGCGTAATGTCGTCGGAAATGTTGGAAGGAAAATTTTCAATGAAGCTGAACTTATGAACGACCTCATGAAAGCCTTCCCAGACGCATGCGTGAAGGCGGCGCTTATGGAGGCATTGCCAATGGCGTCACAACTTAATTTGATGAAAAGTACAGACATTTTTATTGGAATGCACGGGGCTGGTATGAGTCATGTCACGTTTTTACCCAAACATGCTGGTATTCTAGAACTTTTCGCAAAGGATTTTAAAATCGGCCGGCCTTGGTTTTTATGCTTTGAAAAAATTGCAAAATGGCGCAATATGCACTACGACAGTTGGGAGAATTTTGATATCTCATTGGAAATGCCTGCCGATTTTACAGTTTTACCAACTCAAGTTATTGTGAAAAAAACTCAGGGATTAATGAACAAAATATGCCCAAGATAGCAGAGAGGTATGATGAGGAATATGCATTGTTTCTTCTCGTATGTGCCATCATTGAAGTTGTATGTGTTAACATTGACACTAAATCTGCGTAATTTACACTGATACCTTCATTTCTTATTTACATATCAATCAACGCTTTTTTTCCTTACGACTCTTGCTATACTATGTAGCGCACGTGTTCGTAGACACTGTATTTCTATCAATCACAATTTGTGTTATTAGCGAACGTCTCATTTTATTGTCATTGTATTCAATGTGTAAGTGTAACGATTTTACCGACAATGTAAGCGTTATCACTGGTATTTTAGTGCCATATTTGACATACATTACATAACTGACAGTGAATGTTTCATTACTGAAACTGATAATGTCATCAATGAAATTTCATGTGATATCAATGACATTATAGTATTTTAAAATTATGTGTTATATCATTGACATGTTTGTGCCATATTTGACATGAATGTCATTACTGACAGCGAATGTTTCATAAATGAAATTATCATGAGATATTAATGACATTATAATATGTTTAAGTCATATTTTATCTTGGACATTACATTTATTGCCATGATATGCTTTTTAAAAATCTTTTACTTGTGTGCTGTCGTTATAAACGACGGTGGGCCAATATGTAATGCAATATAGACAATAAATTTAACAAAAGAGCAAATATTTTACAGTTTTATTATTTTAACTCTTCGAAATAATTTCCTTCTACAGAAATACAAAGTTTCAGGCGTTTAATCTAGTTTTTAAATGCATTAACATAGTCCTCCTTAGGTATACCTTTCAACAACTTAAACATGGCCGACCTAAGTCAATTTCTACTCTTATACCGCTGACCCGCAATATGTTTTTTCAGACTAGGAAAGAGGAAAACGTCAAAGAGTAACCAAAAAATATTATAAACAAGATCAACAAGAGAAGGTGGCGTTCAATGAACGCAACCCCCAAACGACCCAGCAACAAGAACCAGTGGAAAGGAGCCCCGGAGGACCCAAACAAAAAAAGGACAAGTCAGGAGAATACGGTGGATGGTAAAGACACTCACTCGTTGAAATTTGTACATGGTGATCATTTATCGAAATAAATCTAGTTGTACAAACATTATACAACTCTTAATTAAAACTACATGTATTCATTTATAGACACGTTGGTACTTGTAGATGGTTACTTTCATTCATTATTAAGAGCGCTGACATCAACTGCTGGCAAAAATTGACGTGCGCTCGCGCCGATTGCTAGGTCAACTTTCGTAAATCGGGTTTTCGCCCATCTCAACTCGGGTTTTGATTCTACACACTTGTTATTTTAAGCTAGGTCAGACATGTTTAAATAACTTTTATATTCATAACAATGTTTCAATATTTCTTTATTCAGCTCTGAAGAGCACTAGAATTTCATATTGAATGACAGATTGGTTGTTATTTAACACACTAAATCAACAAACATATGAATGGTTAAAGAAATGTCCCAACTTAGATTTTCTTAAAAACGAATTAGTTGCATTAGTAAATGTTCACTGTCTATAACACCCTCCCCCATTCTCTTTTACTTGTTCAATGTTTTCTATAATATTTGTTTCTTCAAGATAGTTATACTCACAATGGCACATGCTGAAATTTGTGGACGAAGTTCCTTGGCTACTTGGAAGCACAGTCAAAAGTGTTCCGTCTTTTGTATTCTTTATAGTTTCTTATAGCATTAAAGTTACGAAAACGTTGTGTTTTTTGTACTCTCTGTATTTGTTGCATGGGATTTCCACCATTCAATAGAAGGACTTCAGTGATTCCACAGGAGTAGCAAATGAAGATGTTGTGAAAAAGTGAGTGATCTAGAAGCCGGTATATCATCACGGACAGGTGTACTAATAGAATCCCTCCATATTCAAATTGCAGTAAAGATTTGCTAGGCTTCTCTAAGGCTGGTACAATAGGATGTTTAGCTGCGACCGACTTCTTTGCACCCGCTCAGTCCATGGGCACTTGATGACATTTGACATTGTCGTAAGCATTTAAAGATAGGTAAAAGCCATTTCCTACCTGATTTCAAGAATATTCTACCTTTAATGTGTCTTTAAATCTTTTATTCTACCAAGTCGTTTCTGTTGGGAAACAATATATACAAATTACCGCCATTTACAGTCATTGAAGTCCAGCAGTCTAAAATTGAAGATAATTAATACTATAACTTAAATGTTAGAATATACGACAGGGACTTCGGATTCTTCTATGCAGCTAGCTTACGGAACGTCGATGCCTAATTGTGACTGAAATGATGGCACGGAAAGGCACCTTAGGTCTTCCTCCACGATTATAGCCTGAAAAGTTGTCATATGACTTATACTTTGTTAGTGCAACATAATGCTTACCAAAAAAAAAGGATATACCATATTTATTGTTAATTTTTCAATGTTTTTTTGTTGTTTTTTTTTGTTTTACCAAAAGTTTTTTTCTTAGCATTACGGCAACTTTCAAACAAGCCTATGAATTAATGATAATATCATCAGTCCAAGAAAATGTTCCAGAAGATCTTAGAGAAAGATACTGAAACCACACACAGAATCTTACTCTACAATAATTGTTGTCTCAATTTTTCCACAACAGTGGTTAACACAAAGCAATAAATAATCGCTAAAATGTACATTCTTCATTCATTGTCTTACGAGCTATGTTATGATCGGGTACTAAATTATGTGTACCTGGGAAATCATTGTCAAGGGACATTCTATAAGCTCTGGTTAACTTTCTTTTCCTTTTACTTACATAATAATTCAATCCAGCATTTAAAATAAGAGAAAAACTTCTTGTTTTGAACTCTTGATATCTATAAAGATATAATAGTAGTTTAAATTGTATTAACATTTTTTAGTAACACATGAAAATTATAAAAGGATAATTACAACATGGAGTTTGAAGTGGTATATTAATGGACAGGACGTGGAGCGGTTGTACACTTGGTTCAAGTGAGAAAAACTTGACAAAATGACTACCGAGTCACGAATGTTTACAATTGTTTATTTTACCGAGCCCGAGAGCAATTTCATAATAGATTTTTTTATCGGGGGAGAGAACTAGAACATCACGTATTGTAAGTCTATATAGATTACTCTTCCCTGGGGAATATTGCAAAACAATATTGACCGGTCGATATTCATTTCCCGGATTATAGATCGAAATAACACCATGTGAAGTCACATAAGGCTATATCCTGAGGTACGTTGTATAATAATTTCACTTATCAGTAATTAATGTGGATTCCTGCAACAGCAGCCACTATAGTCACGTGACTGGCTTGTGATACAGATGTTGTTTGATTTATATCTAACGTTTTTCTTGTATATTTTTATATAAGTGAAAAAAAGATATTTGTGAGCATAGGCAAAAATGAAATTGAATGGCACAAAATTTCCGAGAAATATATAGGTTTAAAAATTAGAATGTCTGCATAATCTTAATAAAACATGCATATGCAAGAGCTTTTTAAGAATATTCTTAAGCATTATATAGGTAGTATGGAAAAAAAAAAGAAATTCAAAATCAGATTCATATAAATGCAATGGGTTATACAAAATAATTATTTTTGTGTAAAAGTAATACTAAGTATTTTTTCCGATATATTTATTGTTTCAGATCTATAAACATATAAGCAATAAACAACCACATAACAAGTATTATAAGCACCTTGGATAACAAACATAAATGCAAATATACAATATATATGCCATGCAAAAACACACAATACAAAAATATATCATCACATTTATAAAACGTCGGTAATAAAGTGGATTCTTATTGGACAATTGAAGCGTAATATATGTAATATACTCCATGTAATAGGTGTTTATAAGAAAAAGCGACGACAGACTGTGTTTATTCTTCCCCCTACTTGCCCGTCCAATGAGAAGGCCTACATTTGAAGTTCGCCTACACTATTCTTAATTAATAGAGTTAATCTAACCATTCATGTTTATGTCGCGTTTATCTGGACAACGCTATAGCACGTGGCTCAACAACAGTTTTTTGTTGTTGTTTGTTGATGATGTTTTTGTTGTTGTTGTTTTTCTTCATAATTTGTTTTATTAACGATTTACTCGCCGACCTACTTTTTGTAGGCGCTCCGAATATTTATAGACGCGAAATGTGTTGATAAATAAACACTGATTAAGACAGTTTATGGGCATTATGCAGTCAGAAAATTTAAATTCATGCCTACTCTTGGGACGAAAAGAGAAATATATTAAAGAAAGTTTATGACCGTCGCATTGTGGAACGTGTGCCATATGGTAACATTCAATTTCTTCACACGGGATAATAAAAAAATATGATAACTTATAAAACAATGCGTATATAAATTATTGATAAGATCGGGCATTTATTCAGCCCATAACATCCGAAGGTTGCTGATTATGCCTCTGTTACACCTACATTTTATTTATCAAATAAATTACCCGATGGCAATATCTTCTTATGATGTAACGTACGTACCCAGTGTCACTGAGAAAAAAGAACTTTCTGAAAATTCATTACAATATAACATACATCAATAATACGTATACTGTCGACAATTTTCGTGAGTTTCCGTCGATAAGGTTTTCACATTGTAAATTATTGTTACAAACATTAAAAATGTTATTATGGCGAAGTTTACGTATGCATACATTAGTATTGTCAAAATTTTCCCCATGTTATACATGTGGACAAGCAAGCTGAAATATCCCCATGGTTAACACATAACAAAATATTCCCATGACATTCATGTAAATATCTTCCCATGGCACACATGTCAAAATGTTCTTATGGGTACATGTGCAAATGTTTTTTTGTCATTAATTTGGAAATGTTCTAATGGCATACATGTAGAAATGTTTCATCAATGGCAAAATGTTTCAATGGCAGAGTGTGGAAAAGTTTCAAAATGTTCCAAAATGTGGAACTGTTGCAATTGCAACACGAGGAAATGTTTCATTGGGAAACATGTGGAAATGTTTCATGGCAAACATGTGGAAATGTTTCAATGGCAAAATATGGAAATGTTTCAATGGCAAATATGGAAATGTTCTAATGGCATACATGTAGAAATGTTTCATCAATGGCAAAATGTTTCAATGGCAAAATGTGGAACTGTTGCAATGACAAAATGTGGAACTGTTGCAATGACAAAATGTGGAACTGTTGCAATGACAAAATGTGGAAATGTTCCTTCAACATGTATATCTGGTTTCATGTGTCCTTCTGGTAAATATCAAAAGAATCCTCTACTATATTTGTCAAACACGCTTTGATGGTGTGCGATTATGATTTAAAAGTGCACAAATATTTCTCTTGTTAAGAATGGATATTTTTATTTTATTCAAGAACGTTAATTCAGACGATATCTTAGTCAGAGATGTCGGGTTTTTGTCTCCCTTTATAGTCAGTAAATGCATCTGTTAACATGTCCATTACGACCATGTCGGTAGAATTCATACCAACCATTCTAGCTACGAAACAACCGTCATCCCTGTATAAATGATAAAAACAAATCATGAAAAAAATAAGTTAAGTAAACAATTTCAGCTGAAACTTAAGTTACCTTTATTTACAAGATCTAATAAGTACGCGTAATATACAACAAAGAGACAGAAAATAATATAAGGATGTATAGGTACATAGAAATATGAAGAGAAAAAAAGACAGAAAAAAGTCAAAAATAAATCAGTTTTTAAACAGAAACTAAGTGGCTATTGATGGCACTTGGTGATTCTCATTTCCATATTCATATATACATTCCTGCAATGTTTAAAAACAATTAAAAAAAAGATATTTCAAGATTTTGATACGGACGAACATACGAACGGACAACGCAATTTCAAAATCCCCTTCTGATTTTAATCGACAGGGTATAATTATAAACCATAATCATGGTTGACGAAAAAATACGATAATCAATTAAAACCATGCCGTATGTACTTGTATATTTATTTTGACATTTCTATATTTTGCTAGTTTCGACGTTAATTGAGATCGAAGAGACGAAACTTTTTTCCTTTTCCTTTATTTTCTATGTTAAATTTGTCCTCTTTCAATTGTATCTGTCCATTGTCAAATTAAAAAAAAGGTTAATTTCAAAAATTTTGAATATAGCTGGGACATTCTTTTTGTCCCGGAATATAGCAGCCGACAAAATTGTATTCGATCTCTCTCAAATTATTATCCATTAACTACAAGAGCTCTAAACGTTCCTGATAATCTCCCTTTAATTGTTATGTAACTTGAATGTAAGCCTTTTATTTACAAATATAAAATCGGGCATCTTAATATGCAAGCAATTGGCTGTTTCAAACTACAATCTACCTGTCCTACCAGGAAGTGCCCGTGAGGTAAAACGCATAACAGAAACAAAATCTCTACAATAGTTTATAATACAGGTCATGTGTCGGTGCATTTTATGTAGTGCATTTCATTTAGAAACGAAGAAAACAATTATATAAATAACCTGTTTTTCACTACGCTAAATATCTTAAACTAGGTTGTTCTTTACCATACATGTAATTAAAAATCTTAAAATAATTATTGGCCGATTACCAGACGGCACAGATGGGTAGATTCAGACAGCACAGATTGGTAGATTCAGACAGCACAGATTGGTAGATTCAGACAGCACAGATGAGTAGATTCTGACAGCACAGATGGGTAGATTCTGACAGCACAGATTAGTAGATTCAGACAGCACACATGGGTAGATTCGGAGGCACACATGGGTAGATTCAGACAGCACAGATACGTAGATTCAGACAGCACAGATTAGTAGATTCAGACAGCACAGATTAGTAGATTCTGACATCACAGATTAGTAGATTCAGACAGCACAGATTAGTAGATTCAGACAGCACAGATTAGTAGATTCAGACAGCACAGATGTGTAGATTCAGACAGCACAGATTGGTAGATTCAGACAGCACATATTAGTAGATTCAGACAGCACAGATGGGTAGATTCAAACAGCCCTGATTGGTAGATTCAGACAGCACAGATTAGTAGATTCAGACAGCACAGATGTGTGAATTCAGACAGCACAGATGGGTAGATTCAGACAGCACAGATGGGTAGATTCAGACAGCACAGATGAGTAGATTCAGACAGCACAGATTAGTAGATTCAGACAGCACAGATGGGTAGATTCAAACAGCAGTGATTGGTAGATTCAGACAGGACAGATTAGTATATTCAGACAACACAGATGGGTAGATTCTGACAGCACAGATGGATAGATACCGACAGTACAGATTGGTAGATTCTGACAGTACATATGGGTAGATTCAGTTGCCGCCAAATGCTAGACCGTAAATTTTAATTTTGATATACAGGTAATATCTGGAGGGTCTTTGTTCCTGTTTGCAAGAGGGATGTCCTATTTTTACATAAGGAAGTTATTTGTGTGAATTATAACCTTATATAAAAGTGGAGTCATAAATCCAAGATGATCTGTCAAGATAGCCGCCAAAAACTTTTGTATTTACAAATTTATAAAGAAATCTGAAGTGGTTTATGTTACATATAATGTTTTCAAAATTTGTTTTAGGTGTTTACCGAAACTGAAAGAATATCGGACGCGGAAATCTCAAATTAAGGCGCGGTCCAAAAATTCGAAATGGTGGCAATCAGCGCCAAAACCAAAAAATACTTAGCTAATTATACTGAGTCATATGAAAACCCTATTTTTTATTTATTTATTTATTTTATAATTTATTTATTTATTATTTTTTTATTTATTTATTTTTTTTTTTTTTTTTTTTTTTTTTTTTTTTTTTTTTTTTGGGGGGGGGGGTCTTTTTGAGGGGCTGTTGTTGTTGACGTCTTCCTTTTTTTACAAAACATTTTTTTAAAAAAATCTTATTTATAACATGACGATCTCATAACGAATTAATGTCAACATTAAGAGGTCTATAAAATCTATGTGCGAAAACCTAACTCTGGCGTTCAATTCAACGTTTTTTTTCCGTCAGTTAAAGCATAAGAATATATTCACCTTAAATATTTTTCGGCAAACTTTTTACACAGCTCTTTCTCTGACGTCTGCAGCGCTTTTCCACCCAACTTCAGATATTTTTTAACATATTCGTAATTGTTCTTCTTAATTACAACCAAGATCATCCACTGAAAACATGTATAAACAAGTTCAGGTAACTTCACAAGTGTCTAGAACCACGCAAAATTGAAAAAAAGAAAATAAATATGTCATATATTTTGCGAAGAATAAAATTATTACAAACACACTGTCGGGTGTTAAAAGGCAGAATTTCAGAAGCTTAGGTGAAAAATAAATAAATAGAATGACTCATGACATGATCCCTTAATTTCTTTTAATTATACATGTATATATTCAGTACTGGACCAGTACTATGTCAAATTGAGAATGAGTGAAATTTCAGTTGTTGAGAAAGAAAGACGGATAGAAAGTCGGTGTTTGTACTTCCTCTATTCCGGCTGGGTAACTTACTCTACCATCATTAATTTGATTTGAGATGCAAAAGTGGCCCATTCGAAGTGATGCATAAATATTTAAATAACAAAGCATCCTACATAAAACTTTGTGCTGAAATATAAGAACCGAACTTAAAACTGAAATCTATGGTGTCCGATTTGCGCCATTCGTGTTTTCGACAAGCGAAAACACGTTAATTAGCTGGGGCGCGGGGCGAAGTTTTATAAATAAAACTTTTACCTGCGCCCCGCTAATTAACGTGCTTTCGCTCCGCGCCCCCGCCGTTTTATTTCATAAATATCGCTGGGCGAAGTTTTATTTACTTATTAAACTTCGCCCAACCCCCCCATCCCCGACTCCCACTAATTAGCGTGTTTTCGCTCCTCGCCCCCGCCATTTCTAGACTTTTCGCTTGGCGGGGTTGCGGGGCGAAAACACGAATGGCAGCCATCAACCACCATAGAAAGCTATTTTCTTATTTATATTTTAAGTCGTTTTTAGGTTTGAAATAAAGACAGCTCATTTAACCTTGAAATCTTATTACACCTGTTATAACCAAAAAAATCGAGCAGATCTAGAGCGCGATTATTTCATTTCTTTTAGCATACTTGATTATTATATTACTGAAAGGAACAATTCACTATAATCTTTGTCATTCAATGTGAATGGAACCCAGGTTTTCAGCATGTTTCTTTTATGCACATTCAATTAGATTAAATTAAAATCAAGCACAATCAATGTGCCATTGAACACCGGACGTTTATAAACCATCATAATCGGGATAATAACCTGACAATTTATATAAAATGCAAAACAAAAAAATTTGCGACATCAATAAAATTTAAACCCATAAACCTCATGACGGGTATGCAAACAAAAGAAAGCAAACAAACGGCGAGGGGAAGAATGTGCGAACATGTTTAGTAAAAAAAACCAACATTCATACCAAAAATGCTAGCAAAACAAAAAACATACATCAATCTATCATGCAACATGCACAGTCATGCATATGTGTAACACGTATACTCAAGTTATACCAATACTTTATCTAGTGCTCATAAAAATAATTTATTGTGCATTTTTTGTTTGCATCTTATCCAGTTACCACCAGATCTAAAACATGCGATAAAACATGCTTGTATCACGTGCGAAAAACAACAACAACAAGTTCTCTAAATATCCGTGGAACACATGCAAAATAATTAATGCAACCCGTATAAAGCTTGAAAAATATCAGCTGTCATGGAAAATTCAAACAACATTAAAAAAACTGACTTGTTCACACAACAACACCTTTACCAAGTACATAACACTTACATATAGTTTCCCTCTGATTGTAGAAAAAGAATAAAATGTTAAAAAATACCAGCAAGCTATGTAATAAGCCATAAGAATTATAGAAAAAATTCAGCCATATCTTAAAAGAGCTAGACAATTGAGTCTGCTGTGGGTTGTTTTTTTTTCGAGAATTTTATACCATTAGCTGTAGGTTTGCATCATGTAAGGTCAGTCTCTCACAGAAAAATCTTATTTATTGTGCAAAGTGACCTATTATTGAAAAAAGCTTTTAGCAAAAACCACAGAATAATCATTGTCCATCTATTTCTGTGTATATATTGTATTTCTTAATTCAAAGTTTTAAGCTTTTGGACCTCAATGGAGCTTTCTGATATAACGAAATATTGTTTATAAATATATATTTCGATATTTCGAAGATTTGTGTTCGATAGTAACGTCTGTTCCACCACTTGTAAAACCTATCAGTTATTGTTTTCATCATGGACATAAAGCTCCTTTCTCGTTTAGGATAAAGTGTTTTGTTGTTTTTTTTCAGATTTCAAAGCAGTAATCTACCACAGAATCTTTGTTGTACAATGGTTAATATATTTTGTAAAAAACAGGCTTACCTTTATCAGGCTGTATGCACTAAGTACGGCAACGAGGCAAAACCAAAACCATATAAACAGGAATATTTTCTCATTGAACAAATTGATCGGTAAGACACATTGAACTGTAAACCTGAAATAATAAAACCAAAGATAGAGAGTCTATGAGTTTATACATATTTTGACTGTACTCCACTCACATATATAATATTATACTTAAATAAACGCCATTGTTGTTTTCATGACTGAAACTGTACTATTTGCCTTCACGGCCAAAGTATATTAATTCCAGGGTATGAGTAAACAAGTTCAATTTCGGAGTAAATTTTGATAGTCATTAAGTTGACAGACATATGATGCGAAAGACTGTGTATATGAAGAATTCCAAACCTACAATTAGTTCAGGTTTATTATCAGATGTTCTTTTGAACTGAGGCCTAAAAAGTAAACCAACAGTATTGTTATTGACATTGAAAAAATAATTCGTATTTATAACAAAGATTTACTTTTATTCTTACACTTAAGTCTGACTTAAGGTTGTGATTAATGCTTCCAAGGGATCACACTTTATCCAGATTTTTATAACCTATTCATGAATAAGTATAAATGAAAATTTTTAAAAAGTATACATTACGTTTGTACGTTATTCATTTGGCGTATATATAGGTCACAAAGTGTAACTCGAGGAAATCGTTGACTTTCCATGACTTTAGTTCCAGTCCTAAACGATCCGAGCCATTCCAGACCATACATGCTCCCATGATCAGTAGTTATAAAGGCGTTCAGGAGAAAAATTTGTCCAACGACATTAACAACATACAGAATTTTGGTGAACAAGTACAGTCCAGTCAGGAACGTTCCTTCCCTTTTATTACAATATAAACAGCAAATGTGTGACAACCGCGCCTTGACGCGTTCTGCAGAATTATGTTTAAACGGCTGGCGCCTTTGTATCCATTTCTCCAGGTCAAAAACGAGACATTCAATGGCTCCTTTGCGGTTTTCTGGCGAAGAGCATTGCGTGTTTTCTGCAGTTTTGCACAAGTTGGTAAGATTCAGTCCTGAATTCGTATGAAGTAATTTCCATTGAAGGAAAGGAATTTTGAAAAAGAATGCTTGAATCAGTAGAATTAGAGGGACCCATTGGTAATACGTTATTTCTTCTTCCTGTAATTACAGAATAAATTTGAATTTTGAAAATCATTAACATGTAAATCAAATTAATAAATATATTAATCGTGGAACACAAAACGATATTTTAACTTATTTTGTCATACTTATATCGGTGAGTTTTAATATATGTTGGGCTTTGCATTTAGCATTACTTTTGATAACATTCGACAAAAAAAGTAGACCGTATACAGATTAAAAACAAATAGGATGCGATTGCGGTTGGGGTGAGTAGGAAGTATGACCATCTGCTGGTCCCTTTGTGGTAAAACTTATTCCAGGGACTTACTGTTGCCAATGTAGAAAAAGGTAGCCGCTATTCCTTGGGGTGAAGAATCAGGATTACATGTATATTTGGAAGTAACTAATGTATTATTAAGCAGGATTATTGCTACCGAAATATCGTTAATAAAATGAAAATACATTTGTATCTTCCTTTAAAAACGAATACTCTTTACCTGTCGCTGTTTGATGTCTGTGGGTATAGATTCAAACATCGGTATGTAGTATGTATTTTTCATCCAGCAATAATTATGTACATAATGTTCGTACGGATTCGTGTTCTCGTCAACGTCATCATATTCTGCTGGTACCCAACACTTTATAGGGGAACCAACCAAATGCGCGGTGCTGACCAAGATGGCGAAAGAAATCAGCAACAGACACGTGTATCCATGGTTAAGTCGATCTACCCAATCGTCGCAAGTACTCGACGTAAATATCTTTAAAGATGGTAACGAAGTGAAGAATTCAGCCATCCTGCAATATAATTTTCTTCCATTAATGTTTTGCCTAATATTTGTGAAGTTAGAGTTCAATCTGCCTGCAAAGATCAACTTAGTGTAAATAAAAAAACGTGGTCGTTAAGGACGGTCACTGTTAAAAGTTGTTGTTGTTGCTTTCATCATTATACTTGTTCATAGAAAGGGGAATTTAAATGCTTGTGATTCCAGTAAATTAATTGTAGAATAATTGCCCGATCGTAATTCCATAGAAATAGTTACTCTTTTGACTACTCAATAAAAACCGCGCCTTCAATTTGTAGACTATTGACGCCACCAATCTTATCTATACTGGAAACTGTTGTTGTTGTCGCAAAATAACAAATGCATTCTATTTGTATTTCTGCATTTGACCTTGACATTTCCCGTTGAATCCTGGCCAGTCTTTGCATCCACTTATTTTTGTTAAACATTTATTGGACTGACTTTTACTTTGTAATGTCATTCTTTTATAGTTTATACGAATTTATTTTAGTTAGATTGCTTTGGAAGCTATATAATCTTATTGACACACTCTCGGCTCTGTTTCTGGAACCAATCAGTACTGAGCAATCCTCAAGGAAACAACGGCTTGCGACTGACGGGGTTTGGATCCATGAGACCAGCAATCCTTAGATCACTTGTCCGACGTGTTAACCACTAAGCTACGCCGCCGCACATTCTTTTGTTTACAAGGGCTAAAATGAAGCTCCCGCTAGTTACTCCTACCACAAAATGTAATTGTTAAGTTTTTTATAAAAAAAAATGGCGGACGAATAATCTCATTGATATTAACATCTTGTTGTCCTTTCAGTCTCTTCTTTTTTCCATTGTTGATATTCATTTGGTTGTATATTAAATAAACCTTGACATTTTGATTCTAAAAATTGAAACAATTTTCTTCTTTTTAAGTCCAATATGAATATATAAGTAATGCGTACAACAAAATATATTCTAGATGAAAATATACACAATGAATTTCACGTGCCAACCCTACCCTGCCCTGAGCAAACTGATATGGGTCGTTGATGGGGAAACAAAGATATTTTAAGGCTAGTCCAACCTAGTCTCCAGTCCGCACAGTTCTCTTAAAAAAGCTGTTTTATTTTTTAAAATCGATCATTTCTGGTGAATTTCAGCTGGTGTTTGATTTTTAAAATGTATTCTAAATTGCCCAAATCTGACGTGCTTGTGTTCACCATTGCCCTATCTATAGCGTTATATTTACAAAATTGCCCGTATCACTCTGACGTTGTTTTATTTTCAACACCACCCTTTTCTGGCGTATCTTCCTTTTTTTTCTCTTTTTTTTTGTCTTACTTTTTTTTTCAATTTCGCCCAATACATTTGACTTACAAGGAAAGAAAAACTGTCAGATGTGAGCTTCTTTGAAACAAGTGAGTTATTTCAAAATAAAGTCTACATGCATCGTACATACTTAACACAATTAATGAAACGACAATACAAATCCTAAACACTTACCTTACCTGAACAATATAACAATTAGTTATATATATTATATATACATGTATATATACAAGAATGATTCATGCACTAATTGTTGGAAATCCTCCTTTAGCGGTATTTTATAGTTCTGTTTTCCTTTGTTCATTAATGCTGTAAAGTACGATGCTGTCTTCATAAGAATGAATTTAAGATAATGTTAAATGTATAGTAAATTTATTTTATTAATATTGTATAAGAATGAAAACGAAAGTCAAGACAAGTAAACAGATATTTACTTTTAAATGTGTTATGAAATATACAATTTTATTATACATACATGTTTATAATAGAGTAATAATAATAATAATAATAACAATAATAATAATAATAATAATAATAATAATAATAATTATAAAAATAATAATAATAATAATAATAACAATAATAATAATAATAGTAATAATAATAATAATGATAATAATAGAAATAATGAAAATAATAATAATAATAATAATAATAATAATGATAATAATAATAATAATAATAATAATAATAACAATAATAATAATAATAGTAATAATAATAATATAATAATAATAATAATAATAATAATGATAATAATAGAAATAATAATAATAATAATAATAATAATAATAATAATAATAATAATAATAATATATAATAATAATAATAATAATAATAATAATAATAATAATAATAATAATAATAATAATAATAATAATAATAATAATAATAATAATAATAGAAATAATAATAATAAAAGTAATAATAATAATAATGATAATAATAATAATAATAATAAATGATGATGATGATGATTATTACAAAACAAAAAAATAATAAAAGAAAGAAACTGATGACGACGACGATGACAACGAAGATTATAATTATATGCTAACGATAACGATCTATATAATTTAAAAGATAAAACCTTCAAACTCTACAAATATAAAATAATATAATATATGTATTTTTCAAGTTCAAAAAGTTTATTCCCCAATCCCCACAAAAAAAAGAAGAAAAAATAAATTTCTACTTTTCATTTCTACTCTATAATGTAAATGAGGAATCGTTGGTTTAAAAGAAGTTACCACCATCAACTACTGGTTTAAGATTACGTTAACATTAAATCTGAATGACGTATCCGAAAGTGAAACTAAAATACCGGCATTAAATGAACGTTAACAGTCTTTATTCTTTATTCTTATTTTTCATCATCATTCTTATTATTATAATTATTATTTTTAAGATATCATTATCATCATAATCATCATCATCATCATGTGTCATCATCATCATCATCATCAGTAGTATTAGTATTAGTATTATAATTTAGACCACCATTATCATCATTATCATCATCATTTATTATGATCATCATCATTTTCATCATCATTTATTATGATTATCATCATTTTCATCATCATGGTTTTATATTAACATTGTTATCAAAAATGATGATGACGTCAATGACAGTGGATACGATGATGTCCACGACCATGAAGATGATCATAATGATGATGAAAATGAGGTATGGAATTAAAAAGATAAATGAAAATCTATTACAAACCTTATAATACTTCAGAGTGAGAGAAAATAGTACAACATTTGCGCTCCGTATTTTTATCTTGATTGTCGAATGCAAATAGTTTAATAAAAATATTTCCACAATCCGGGTATTCCAACTTATATTTTGTATCTACTATTTACGATGTATTTATATTTGTTATTGTGAAACTAAATGCTGTAAAAAAAGAGGTTTTACGTGTCTCATTTTAATATGTCATATTTAAACTTCTCCCAAAAGTGTACTTAAAGTGAATAAAGAATTATAAGAATAAACGAGATTACCTTAAATAACTGGCGAAAAGTTTATATAATACAAAAACTAAAAATTGTTTAGTCTGTGAATAACTGTTTTGTAAAAAAAATACTGAAAACCAGTTAATTGACTTAAAATAGACACACACAAAAAAAACAAAGACAGCTGAATTAAACTTCAGTGGATATAACTTATTGATATTAGATCTAAGTTCCTGTTTTAAAAACGAAACCAAATATTTTTGAAGACCTTTTATTATTTTCCTTTAAAATGATTTCCAATCGAAATTAGCAAATTTAGCATACAATTAAAAAAAATGTTTTATTTAATTTATATTTTTTCAATTAATTATCATTTGCTTAAATAATTAATTATTTGCTTAATTAATATAAATATAAAACAATACTATTAAACATCTATAATCAGTCGTAAACCTACTTCAAAAGATTCCTATCCCTCGTATGTCAAAATGAATACTGAATGAATTTCACAAAATTGGAAAGTAGTTGCCAAGCAAAATTCTATTTTTAGAATACAGATAATATTAACGAAAAAACGCGCACTGTCGGGTGAATGAATACATATCTCTCTTACATTGAAATAATTTACAATAAATGAACAATTATACCCTTAAGTGTAATATGACTTTAGTGTTTAAGTGTGTATTTTGGGTACTTCATTTTTGTGTGTTTAAACATTTACGCAGTTTATAATTCTGGCGTTCATACTCAAACTTTTATGTTAAAAATACTCTAGGGTCCTTGAAAAACCCCAAGTTTACGTGAATGGAAACGTTCTGTTGATTTTTTCTTTCGGGTAGGAAACTTTAATAATTATGTCTTCATTTTATTATTTTGTAGCTGAAAATGATAGTCAAACGTAATAATGAACATAAGTTTATTTAAGATAAAATTAACGTGAGTTGAGCAGCCCTTCCAACATAGACACCTGGAAAATAACAAATATTACTTTTTTGTACAAGGTTTATATATAATTATGTTTTCTGTTCTTCAAATCTGATTTATCTGTTAATATTACATATTAGATATACGTAAGTAGATGCAACCCGTAATGATTGTTATAAAAAGAAATCAGAGCTGTCCTATTAAATGGTTGAACACCAAGGAAATTCGAGACGGTATAATATTGAAAACACTTTGTTGAAAACCTTGCAGATATCTATCACAAATCGGTAGCTGATATGAAGCGGAAGTAAGGAAGTAGGTTGCCGGTATCAATCGGAAGTAGATTGCTTATATCAAGCAGAGCTATGATTTTAATATCATTCGGAAGTCCGTTTAATATCAAACATATCTATAATTTTAATATCAAGCGTAGGTCGGTTTAATATCTAGCGGAATTTGGTTTAATATCAAGCGGACGTTGGATTGCTGATAAGTAAGCGTAATGGATTGTTGAAAGTAAGATATATTGCTGATTCTCAATTAGGCCGCCGAAAATCTGCATCCAGGAACTTTCAGGTTGAAAAGTTACCTCAAGGTGACAACAGTTACCTACAAAAATGAATTGCAGTCAAACCATGTATATCTTTGCTTGGTTTGTACATGCTAATTTGTGTATGAGGAAGACAATTAGCAAGACGAATTCATTGACTGTTGACCAAAAACTTCGAAATAGTTTTGACATTCGAAGAACAACAATAGATTTATTTTAGGCTGACCTAACTTAATACAATGTAGATCAACATATTTGCAATCCGTGATGGAACAAGTTCACCATTTTTATTGGAACAAGCTCACCATTTGTATCTCAAAGTAAACCGAGGGTGATGATGAATATAAGTGTCAATCTTAGAATATTACTGTTACAATGTAATGTTTGGCACCTGTGTTAGGGCCCATGATGTGACATTTCTTCGGAAAAGGGTCAAACCATTTGTATCAGAAATGCGACATATGACAGAAATAGTCAAAATTAAAACACAGTGCACGTGACGGAGGGTACAGTTATGGTGATGTTATATAAACTGGGATACACGGGATTAGGTGTTTTTTTTTTCTAATGACAAACATTGTTTAAAGGGCCGTTGTGAAGTTGTGAAATAATGCGGCAAATGATAACATGGATAGACCTTTCCGGTTTTTAGCAGTGAGTAATTTAGCCATGCCATTCCTTTTTATTGCCACCATCATATGTGTTCTGTTGTGTCATCCCAGTGTATAGAAAAATGAAACTTTTTGAATTCTGTCATATTTAAAATGGTCTTTTCAAAATCTGATGAAATAGCTCTGAAATATAGAGCAAAGATTTCGACCGAAGCGCATTAAAGTTAAACTATACACTCACTCACTTAGCAATGTTCAATGTCATCACAATTTATTTTAAGATAATTTAATCAGATTTGGATAGGGACACTTTCGCAACAGGAAGTAAGTCGAGTGTGTGTGTGCTTTTAAATTTCATCATACCTTTTATAGGAGAAAAATAAATGTAAAAAAAGGCAATAAATGACATGGTTTTAAATTTAAAATGACAAGTAAACAGGTGATATGAATATTGGGATTATCTTTATGTCATACCTATTTTACACCATTAACTTATCTCGCTTTTTAAAGCGGGATTTTGAAAGCGATCTTCGTTAGACATGATATTATATACATGTATCTACGACTTTATTTTTATCTCGATACCAAATCAATAAATAACAAAAACAGATTGTTTGCAACGACTTGTGTAGTTTACACGGAAAAAAAAAGTTCAGCAAAAAAATGGGTTTTCACGTAAGAGTTAAAGCAGTATGACTCAAGATTCATGCTAATTTTCATGTAATTTTTTAAATGTAATAAAAGAAGTAAAATACTGTCTAGTAAACAAAGACAGTAATTTCGAAAATGTTCAACAGCTGAAACCATGATAAAATTAACAAAAAAGTATCTTAATCTAGACTATAGTTAACCTACGATTATATGTACATGTAATTTAATGTATCAAAATACAGCTCAACCTCTGCAGAAAAAAACACTCTTTGGAAAACAAGTATTTTGGTCGTTATTGAGAGATGTTGTTGTAGAGAGGTTAACTTTATTGTGAGGGCTTACTTCGGGAGTAATTATTGATATAAAGAGGTTATTGCTCTATACAAGGTCGCTTTAAAGATGTTGCGCTGTATAAAACAATGTCCCTTACGTCGTTAGTAATATGGTGATGCTTGAAATGTGGTGATTTTTTTTATGTTTTTTTTTTTGTTTTTTTGTTTTTTTTTGCTTTTTTAATTGTACGCGTATAGCTTTATAGGATAATGCGCAATTGCGCATGAGCTTAAAGTGAAAATAATCAAGGGGTTAAAGCAAAATGGTTACAAGTAACATAATATATAATATAAAGTTACAACCGTTTCGTTACAAATCCCCGAAATATATATTTGTTAACACATAACATAATGATACTGTAGCAATATCATGTTCAGTAGAAATCATAGATCAAGGACTTACGTTGCTATATCTTAAAATCTAGACACATTTTCCAACCCCTAATTGGTGATAATAACCATAATTTATTCTAATGACAGCAAAAAGGTAGACAATAAGTAAAGAAAAAGTAAGCCTACAAAAGTCAATAGATCTATGTGCATGTTATCTTGTGTTTTCATTTATTATGTTTGGCCATGACCAACGTATATTTGTTATTATATTTACACTGTTATCAAATAGTTTATAAAGATATCAGGGTGTTAATAAATTTGACATTATTAGACAAAGTTGACAGAATGATAATTTGATACTACAATCATGATTGATAGATAATGTTAACGAGATTTTATTTAATTGTTAAAGTTAAAGTTAGTTTGTTGTCATGATTGATATTATAATGATTTGATTGCTAACGACTTCATGGTTAATGACATCATAAATTAATGACTTATATTATCATGATTTTACGGCTAATGCTATCATGATTTGCTGGATAATGTTATCATGGTTTGATGGCCAATATCATCATGATTTATTTGCCAATATTATCATAATTAGGTGGATAATGTTATCATGGTTTGGTGGCTAATATCATTATGATTTGATGGCCAATATCATCATGATTTGATGGTTAATGTTATCATGGTTTAATGGCTAATAATTTCATGATTTGATGTCTAATTTTATTATGGTTTGGTGGCTAATGTTATCTTATTTGACGGCTAATATTATCATGATCTGATGGTAAATCTTATCATTATTAAATGGCTTATGTTATCATAATTTAATAGCTAAAGGTATCACGATTTAATGACTAATTTTATTACGATTTGATGATTATGTAATCATGCTTTGAGGCTAATGTTATCATAATTTGACGGCTAATGTCATAATGATTTGACGGCTAATGCTATCATGATTTGACGACTAATGGTATCATGATTTGATGGCTAATGTTATCATAATTTGACGGCTAACGTCGTCATGATTTGACAGTTAATGTTATCATGATTTGACGATAACTCTTATAGTGATTTGACTGCTAACCTTATCATGATTTGATGGCTAATCTTATCATGATTTGACGGTAAATGTTATCATGATTTGACGGCAAATGTTATCGTGATTTGATGGCTTATCTTATGATGATTTGATGATTAATCTTATCATGTTTTGATGTTTAATGTTATGTGATAAACAATATTATCATGGTTTGGTTGTTAAATTTTGCATGACTTTATTGCCAATGTTATCTTGATATAATAGCCAATGTTATCATGGTTTGATGGAGAATGGTATCATGATCTGATAAAGTTATTATGATTATTAAAACGTGATCGACCTCACAATCGTCTTTTGAAGTTTAGGTTTGATAATCTATGTTTAATTTGAATTAATTGAAAAATCAAAACTTGGCGCTCTGTCAATAAATCCAACGTAATCAAAACTTTATATTAAAACATTTTATAAAATCTATACTTAGTTTCAATGTGCTGCAATATGTATAATAATTAAATTATTATAGAATAATTTATTCATAGAGGGATTTGTGTCATATCATTATTGACTTTTTTTTTCTTGCAACGAATCAAAAATCTTGTCGTTACATAATCCAGAAACAGAGGCCTTGTTTTCGTAAACGGATTCATCGCAACTTTAAGATTAATTCGCCGTGGAAGCCAAAGGAATGGCGACATTATAAAACTGATCAATGAAAACTTTAATCTTGATCAAATATGATTTTTTATATATAAATCTAACACAAAGACTATTTCGGGGAAAAAAGCTTGATATATTACAGTATATGAAGTTATGAACTGGTTCTATTCAATCGATAGAGATATCTCCAAGATGGGATTAAAGTTCTTTTTATTAAGATAATATGGTTTGAGCTTATAATGGTTAATCAAATAATGTTCAACAGCATTATATTTTTGCAAAATTTGTATAAGTTGATTTAAGCTAATTTATAAAAGATCCAGAGCACTGAGTTTCTGTAATTTTGCAGTAATTGATGTTAAGAAGGACACATTCCACATTGACATGAACCGTCAGTGTATTATACTATGTGGGGAAGTTATCCTACTAGCCAACAAGATAGTCGGCGGCTCTAGTTATCTCAGATATTTTACGGTGGTTACGTGTCCCTGATTTCTAGCGGGAAAG